CGAGCTGTCTAATCTCTTGCCTTAGTAGCCCCGTTGCGGAATGACAGGCAGCATGAGATCAATCCCAATGCAAACCCCGACAAGGAAAAAGCAATCACTGGTTTAAAGTCAATAGAAGGGGCGACTACCCGAACATCATGTGAAATCAATCTTCCGGTATACCGGAAGGTGACCACCCTTATGATGTCATGAAAGATTGCATTATTTAAAATGCAATCCCCATCAACTTATGACCCATTCCAGTGCATTCCTTAACCTCTTAAAGCCCGTGCAACCACCACAACACACCTAGAGACGTATTTGGTAGTCCAAAATATCCAGCCAATAAATCAGGATCCCTCAGTATGTCAGATAATGTGACAAAGGAGTGTAGAAATTCCCAAATTCAATTCGAGCCCAATATTGCCCCGGCAAGTTGAGTGGTGGACCTCAACTATAAGTCGCGTGCAACAGGCCACCAGTATTATATGGTACTCTGGTTAGACCCCATATCAAATCATTCCAAGGAAAGGCCAAGGATACATTTAATCATCACCAGTTTATAGTCCGGCAGACTAGAGGTATTGATAGCACCTCTTTTTCCCGGGATATTGCAACACCAAGGTGGAGATTTCACCAAGGTAACATGCCACCGAGGGGATCGTAGACAGACGGACATAGCTTCGAATCGAATCTGAAAGGGATTCTGAGCAGATTGTTGTACTTTAAGGTGGAAACAGGACCAATATTTTAGCCGTTATAAACAAACTGACGAACGCAACCACTGTGGTGTAGGGTATAAATACCAAGACTTCCGCATTGCTCATTTAAAAAAAAGTGTCCTTTCTACTTTGTACTCCTATGTATTTCAATATCATAAGCGTCTTAAAAATACAATTTTGCTTAATTTTCTTTTAACAACTTTTAAAATTCCTTAATTAACTTAAAACACTACTTTTTTCGAAAATCCATTACACACTTATCAGATGCAAGCATGTATAACGCTCTTAATAAAATCTACAAAAAAAAATCATTCACAAAATATCAAAATACCTTTACATACTAAACAGATCATTTTAAAGCAAATTTATTTTAAAATCTTTCACCCCACTCTGACAGGCTGTCCGAGTACATGAGCAGGCGATGCGTGAACAGGCGAAAAAAATGAATGTTGCATCGCTGCGCAACAGCGAGGCGGATAAGGGTAAATCGGTGGAAATAAAACTGGGCTAAAGTGGCACTTGTTACAATATCATTATGGTTTCTGGCCTGGACACCATATACGATTATAAACTATGCCGGCATATTTGAATCGATGGCCTTGTCACCGCTCAGCACCATCTGTGGTTCGGTGTTTGCCAAAGCCAATTCAGTCTGCAATCCCATTGTCTACGGTTTGAGGTGAGTTGTGCTCAAAATAATATTTATACCTTTTTTCTTTATGGTCTTTATAATATCTTTTTTAGTCATCCCAAATACAAACAAGTCTTAAAAGAGAAAATACCCTGTTTGGCTTGTGGCAAAGATGATACAGCTTCTGATTCCCGAACACAAGCTACCACTGAAATTAGTGAATCGGCAGCGTAGATTTTTGAAAATTCTGATATGAAATTTATTTTGTTTTTTTTTTCCTTTTTGTGTTTTCTTAAAATTAATGACATTAATGACAATTTTGGCGCGTTAAAAGGACTTAATGATTTTTGGTATATATATTTATTTAAAGTTAATTTTAAGTAGTTTTTAGTTTGTAAAAAAAACAAGAGAAACAATTTCCTATGGATTCAACGAAGTGATCTTAAGCTGTGTTTTATGGTAAAACTCTTTAAGCGTTTAAGAATGGTAAAGAAAAAAATCACAAAAAAATGTACAAAAAAAATAAATTTTTTAAATGTTAACTATACTTATAAAAATCTAGCAAAAAAACAACAAAAGTTGCAAATTATAAAAAATCCAAAAAAAAAAGAAAGAAATAATAAAGAACACAAAGCAATTGATACAAAATCAAATTTTAGTTAAAGATTTTATTGGTAGCAACTAATTTATAAACGTTTTAGGATTTTAAAATTTTATATCAAAGTCTAGTTGTCGGTGGTCGAACCCTATGTGCAGATTAACTGAAAAATAGTGCTTTTCCGATATTTTCCGACGCTGAATCTCATTTATAAGATCCTGTAAGATCATTACTGTTGCATCCGATGTAAAAAGCCATGATATCGGACGAGAACCTGTATCGCAGTAAAAAGTTGGATGTTTACTAGATTCACTCCAGAAAACTTTCTTTTCAAACGTCCAAAATTCTTGGATTAAAGCAATATGTAACTTACCTTAGTTTACTTAAGCAATCAAACTTGAAGCTTTACTTGAAGCTTTATTTGAATGACCTTAATCAAGGCCCTCCAAGTTGATGCGAGTTTGTGATCACATCCTCTCTCTTAGGCTCCTGGTTTCCTGTAGTGGATAATGATGCTGTGGACACAGCCTTTGTTGGTTGCGGTCTCGTTCAGTTGAAGCTTTATTTCGATGACCTTAATACGTGTTGGTGATCACTTTCTCGCTCTTAGGCTTTGACAACTCCTGGTTTCCTGTCGTGGCTAATGATACTGTGAACACTACCTTTGGTATTTCCTAGTCCTTTCCACTTCCAAGGGTTTGATTGTCTTATAATGCTCTGCACACGTTTGATATATCGCTGTTCTTATCACGGTTAATTGTAACATTCCTTTCAATGCCAATTTTAAAGAAATTCCCTGAAGGCCCCTCTTTTCTATACCTCATGATCATCACACCCCCGACGAACTCGCTCTCTATGGGTTGATTTTCGATACGGAATTAAAAGAATCGTACTCGGCCAAAGATTATCAACTCAAGAACAGCTGTAACCAACAAACGTTTTTTGCACAGGAAGGAACTAACAGTCATAATCGAACCGTTACAAAAACAACATAGCATAGATCGTCACGGAATATTTTCTTCGCAATATTTAGTATAAAATGATGGGTATTTTCTTCTTTCAGAAGTCGGTATTTGGCTGACGACGTCAGCTCTTTAATAGATGGACTGACCCCTATTTGCAGGATTTTTTTAGTGATTCTTTAAAAGTCCTATGGGTTAACTTTGACAGTATATTCGAAGACAGGGGTCTCTTATTCCAGTGTTCAACTCTTCGGATTTCAGATACTCTTTACTTCAGAAAAGATTTAAGAAGAAGAGACAGATAAACACATCACAGTGTCCTCAGCTTGTCTCAATGTGATCTTTTAGAGCAACTTTTGCAACTTTCCAGATAGCCTTTTTTGGTGACCGTTCATCTCCTTCACCATTGTAACAGTGTTGTTATAATTTGTGAATTCAGAGACGGAACCTTATCCTGTGTCTAAAAGCTGAAGTTTCTTGAAGACCCCTCAGCTACGGATTTTTAACGTTTTCTATATTTTTTTTTTTTTTTGTTTTGTTCGGGTCCGCAAAGAATACTGTGAGGCGGGTATTCAGCCCTCCTTACACCAACATAGTGGTGATCGTATTATGCGTTTGTAATCATGTTTAGAACATACAAAATATTGGTCCTACACTAACCTCAAAGTATACCGATCGACTCAGAATGACTTTCTGAAGAACATAGTGCAATTTTCCAATCACTTATTTCGACGAAATTTAGACTAAACGTGTTCATTTGGCACAAGGGGAAAGCCTATTCTGAAATTGGTCTATTATTTCACCTAGCCCCAGCTGATTTTTGTAATTTGATTCTAGACATTGTTTAAACGTTCATAATTGACTTAAAACTATTTTTTTTTCTACAAAATTCAGCATAACTAAATCAAAACACAAATACCTGGATATATGTATGTATATCTCTAGAAAGAGAGTAGATATGACAGAGATTAAAGATTTATTTTAAAGTCAAAAATCAGAAAATATTTATCTGCCTATTCTTTGGTATTCTATTCACAAAATATACAAATGGTAAAATTTAGCAATTGTGCATAAATTTAAAATATATAACTAACTGGACTTTAATCTAGTCTATAATCTGGAGCGGAGTTTAGTCTATATTTTAGCTACAGTCTAGCTAATAATCTGGATTAAAGCCTATTCTATAGAGTGGATTATATTCTACTTTATAGTCTGGTGTACAATTTAGTCTTCAGTCTGGACTATAGTATAGTATATAGTTTGAAATTTAATCTATTGCCTGGTCTATAGTGCGGACTATAGTTAGATAATAGATAATATGGACTATAATCCAGTCTGTAGTCTGGACTATAGTCGTGTCTATAGTCTGTAAATTGGTCTACAATTTAGTCTATAGCCTGTACCAGAAGAGTCTTTAGTCTAAAATATAGCTAAAGTTTGGACTATAGTCTAGTCTATAGTCTGGACTATAGACTAGTGAAAAGTCTTAACTACAATCCAGTCTATAGTCTATATTTTAATCTAGTCTATTGTCTGAAGCAGAGCTTAGTCTGTAGTGTGGACTGTAGATTAGTCTATTCTATAGTCTGGACTATAATATAGTCTATAGTCTGGACTATAATAAATAAAGTCCATATTAAAGAATAGTCTATGATCTAAACTATTGTATAATCTACTAATCTGGACTATTTTATATGATCTGGTCTGAACATTTGTTTAAGTCTGAACTATAGTCTCAATTCCATAGACAATTGACAAGATTTGTCATTGGAAAAAGGACAAAGCCTTGTGAATTTTATTGATTCATTAATAAATCACTAAAATATTTCGATAATAAGACAAACATTTGTTATTATAAAATTCGTTATAATATAGTTCCAGGTTTCATTCAAATCCCAAATAAAACCGCATTATTTGAATGTAGAAAAAAAGAGAGAAAATTAATATTTCAAACATACATTTCTTGTTACTCTAATAAAATATTTGTACAAAATCTATAATAGTTAATCATTATTAAAATCATTTTCAACATCAGTGTCATATTATAATTGTCGTCAACAGCACTATTATCATCAACGTCATCATCAGCCAATATTTTCATAGTCATTATTATCATTCTGATCGCTAAGTTTATTTGCAAATAGTTTATAAATTTCCTTTAATCATAATAGGCCTGTAAATCTTCCAATATAAAGGTGCCATTATGACGTTCTTCATCATTGAAGGGAAATGCTGATCGTGGTATTAATAATTTTTGTTGTTCATGTAAATGCTCATACTGTTGTTGTTGTTGTTTTTGTTGCTGTTGTTGTTGTTGTTTTCTCTCATTACTCAATTCATTTTGTGTGAACATAGCACGTCCTTGCAACATTATAAAATCGATTAAACGTTTATTCGTGATCATTTTCATGGCATTTGGATCGGTACGTTTGCGTAAATAATTAAAACAACAGGTTCTATAAGTTAAATATTAATTATAATTAGTAATTTATCAATTTTGCTTTTAAACGAAATGTTTACCTGAAGTGTTTAGTGCCACAAGCATTGGCGCATTCATTGCCACAGGAATCACAGGGTATGGCAGAGACGCTTAAAATTGCATTAAAAATATGCCTGAAATAGATAAATAGAAATAGATAAAATTGTGCATTTTTGTATATTTTAAAATCTAAACATAAATAGTTAATGATTGATTAGGTTCCTATATCACCTACACCACTTGAAGTGGGGAGGTATTATACGTTTGTGCTGATGTTTGCAACACACAAAAATATTAGTCCTACACCCAGCTTAAAGTATACTAATCGACTTATTACAATTTTCTGAGTCGATTAGGACATGTCCGTCCTTCGCCCGACCATGTAAAACCTTATAGGTAACCGAGGTATAGGTCGCATTTAAAAAAATCGATGAAATTTTGTATGTGTTATACTTTTGAAACAAATGCTCAAATGGATGTCAGAGTTGTTCGGGCAAAATACGAATTTTAGTATTTAATTTATATTGGAGATCCTAATAGTTTCCCCGATAAACGATTACATATAATTCATATGAGAGGTACCACGCCCATTAATGCTAGTCCGCCGATTATTTGTCCTAGATATTCATATTGATACAAAAATGGCTCCGAAAAAATAAAGACTCTAACTGTATATTTTCTCAGATATATTAACTAAAGATTTTATGGGAGGTGCCACGCCCACTATATAGCTAGTCCCCATATGTTTATATGTATGTCAAAGTTGTCCATCCATAAAATTTTAGAACTCTAGCTGTTGTAGTTTCTGAGATATGCTACTTTTAATACTTGTTTTGTATGTAGGCGTGGCACGATATAGAGGAAGACACTGAGAAGATTTCAGAAAAATCGGTCGAGCCGTTTAGCAGTCTATAAAGTCCAAACAAACAAACATTCATTTTTATATATATAGATAAAGATTCTCATGGAGAGTGCCAAGCCCCCTATTGCAAGACCGACCATTATTGTTTCAAATATACTCCGAACAAATTTAAAGACTGTAGCTGTTATATTTTCTAAGATTTTCTAATTTAAAATGTTCTTACTGTACCTAGGCCGCCCTTTTTGTCCCCAAATGTTCATATCGATGTCAAAGATAAATTTGAAAACTATAGATGTTGTAGTTTCTGAGATACACGACTCCTCAGTGGCTCCTAGCCTTGAAATTTCCAAATAGATAATATGTAGCCGCTTCCTTAATAATATTAAGGGAGTTCCATACCTCCATTTCTCAAAAAGGGACTTAACTTACAGAAGATAAACTAATTACTTTGATCTGCATAACGCAAACATTATGTTAACTCTTAAGAAGTTCTACAGAAGATATATTATGGTAAGACCATCGGCCGATTTCTTGTCAGAATCCGAAAGAAACACGGATATCTGATAATTAATAGTTTGACTAGAGACTAAATAATGTTGCTAAGTAGTATTTTCAGAACAATGATATGTTATGGATCAGAAAAGTATGACAATCTTTCGATCCATATCGACAATTATGAAATCTAACTTTCTTGAGATTCCGAAATACAAATGTAACTGGACAAAGTTAATTGATAAAATTAAATTCTATAACAATATCATACTTATCTGGGACCACAAATCAGTGACTAAATGCTCACATATGCATTTGGATATTCGAAATTCAAAGCTAGCTATAGCACTGATCGTGCCGATTGATCCAGTTTGACCGTTCAACAATAATCCCGAAATGTCCCAATGGCAGTACTGTCAGTTCTTATTGCCTACAACTTACGACTTAATTGGAAAATTTTCAAATTTGAATTTATACCATTAAAATAGACCGGGTCCGAAAATTTGATTTATCCAAAATCAAGATTTTGGAAAAGCATTTACATATGTATGTATTAGTGTTTCGCTGTCTTCAATTTTATCTGTTGAAGGGTATATAGGATTCGGCATAGCCATATATAGTAATATTTTTTTTTTGTTTATATTTAACTTACGGCGATTTAGAAAAAAATCCCCGCTTAAACAAGAGAAATCTATCTTTCAAGTGAGACTTATAAACAATTCAATAAAAGAGATACTCAGCTAAAAGGTAGTCAACCGACCAACCTATTTATTTAATAACACAAGATCATTTTGAGTGATTCTTTCCCACAGCTAATCATCAGAACGATCTATGAAAAAAGCTCTTATATTTAAGCTTATCAGCTAAAATTAAGAACAACAAAACATACAAGAATATAGTAATACTCGTGCATGTGAGCATTAAAGTGGATCTCAAGCGGAACACTGATTGTTTTAATTCAGTATTCAAAAAGATTTCGCTGCAAACAAGTCATTAAAACAATAAAAAAAAAAATACATTAGGAACAATTTAAAATGTTTAAAACGTCTATAATATTGTTAATATTTGGTACTTTAATCACCAAACACAGCTTTTTTACAAATGGTAAGAGTTCAACGATTTTTTTGTTTACAATTTTTCAGTTATCAGTTGTTACAAAAATACCTAAATATTTGTTCCGCATTTTTAAGAGAAATTCCAAATAAATGGATTTCCCAAAAAAAAAGTTTAAGGAACCAAGTCTTTATTTCACTAAATCTTTATTTCTTTTTTTTTCCCCGTACAGCTAATGAATGCGCCTTAAATACTGAATGTGTTCATATACGAGATTGCCCACGGGTTTTAAACAATTTTCATTTAATACGCAATAAACCGTATTGTAGTTTAAATCAAAAAGGCACCCACGTCTGTTGTTTGAAACCACCCGAGAAATATACCCAAGAGAAGGATGAAGACATACGATCTGTAAGGGGTAAGTAAGAATGATTTTTATATACTATATTGTTTGTTAATTATTTTAATTTTAGAATGCAAATCGGTTCAACGTTATCGCAAGTCTTGCGAAAAGACTCTGATTGTTAGCGGCCAAAAGGCTGAGGCTCAAGAGTTTCCCTTCATGGCTTTACTTTTCTATAAACATGAAGACACAGTGAATTATTTATGCGGTGGAACTTTGATTAGTAACAAATATGTGTTGACAGCAGCTCATTGCTTTTTTGTTTATAGGTGAGTGTTTTTGGTCCTAAGACCAATTATGGGCTCTTCTTCTCTTTGTCCTTATATGGTTACTTTTTATTGAACTACACTATGGACAAGAGTATAGTCTAGACTATAGATTAGACTATAGACTAGACTATAGACTAGACTATAGACTAGACTATAGACTAGACTATAGACTAGACTATAGACTAGACTATAGACTAGACTATAGACTAGACTATAGACTAGACTATAAACTAGACTATAGACTAGACTATAGACTAGACTATAGACTAGACTATAGACTAGACTATAGACTAAACTATAGACTATACTATAGATTATACTATAGAAGATACTATAGACTAGATTATAGACTAGACTATAGATTAGACTATAGACTCTACTAGACTATATACTAGACTATAGACTAGACTATGGACTAGACTATAGACTAGACTATAGTCTAGACTATAGTCTAGACTATAGACTACACTTTATACTAGACTATAGAATATACTTTAGACTAGACTATTGGTTAGACTATAGACTAAACTATTGACTAGACTAGACTAGTCTAGACTATACTATAGACTAGACTAGACTAGTCTAGACTATACTATAGACTAGACTATAGACTAAACTATAAATTAAACTATAGACTATAGATTATACTATAGATGATACTATAGACTAGACTATAGACTACACTATAGATTATACTATAGAAGATACTATAGGGTAGACTATAGACTCTACTAGACTATAGACTAGACTTTATATTAGACTATAGACTAGACTTTATACTAGACTATAGACTAGACTATAGACTAGACTATTGTCTAGACTATAGACTAGACTATAATTAAATTAACTTAACTTAACAGCTCTTTATTTCTCTATCAACAGCCCTCCCAATTGGGTACGTCTTGGTGAATTGGATTATTCAACCACCACCGATGATGCCTCACCTATCGATTATGAAATTAAGAATATCATTACTCATCCTCAATACTTTACCACCGACATACAAGAAAAATATAATGACATAGCACTGGTGGAACTTGTGAAAGAAGTCCAATTCAATGACTATATAATGCCCGCCTGTCTACCCCTGGTCGATGGTCGGGATTTTCAAGAATATCTAGCCGCTGGTTGGGGCAGACCCAATGATACCACTCTCGAAATGTCACCACATTTACTAAAAGTAAAATTGGATCGTTTCGACGATGACACCTGCATTAGTAAAGTGGAACAGACGGAAGAATTGAAATATGGTGTCAACAAACGAACACAAATGTGTGCGGGTTCGTTTACAGATAAGCGTGATACTTGTATGGGAGACTCGGGTGGTCCCTTGTTTGTCGATCATCCCGATTATAAGTGTTTGTTTTTGGTTTTGGGTATAACTTCATTTTCGCATGGCGGTTGCGGTAATGTGGGCCATCCAGCGGTTTATACAAGAATTCAATTATATTTAGATTGGATTGAGCAAATCGTATGGAAGGAAGCCGCTAAATTGTCTAAATAGTTATTTATTTTAAATAAATAATAAAAATTAATTATTCTCAAATGTAGTTTTATTAAAAAAAAGCAACACGCAATTTTTCTATCATAACTTTAATTAATTTCCATGTTAATTAAACACTTTATAATTTTGTATTTTTTTTAATTTTTTTTTTTTCAACTTACACAATATAAACATATGAAATTGCATTTTATAATACATTTTATCCTTTACTTTATGTTCTTTTGTAAATTTTTTCTTTAATTGTAAACTCATTAATTTCTCAATTTTGTTTTCTTTTTATTTCAAAATAAACCAACGAATATAATCCAAATCAGAGTCACCGATTCCGTAGTAAAACGTATGTTATCTTTTAAGATTTCCAAACCGAAAGACCAACATATGAGCGTAACAGCTTTTTATATCCTTCTGTTGGAAATCCTTTTTGCCGTGTCAATCAAGACGACGAAGAAAAGTTCAAAGAATTTATTGAAGCATTAAAATTTGTCCATTAAAAAGAGAAAAGAAATGACGTGTTGCTATCATTAACACTTGCATAGAATTTTTAATATTTTAAGTTTTTTCTTACTTTTTTTGTTTGTATGTACTTATACAAGTACATAGTATTGCACCCTTTACATTTTTATACCCTCCATCATGGTGTCATTCCGTTTGTAATTTCTACAATATAATTTTCTGATCGTATATATTATATACATATATAACGAGTTTTTATAGTCTATTAGCCATGTCCGTCTGTCTATCCATCTGTCTGTCCATATCTATGTTGAAATCGGTTTTCAGAAGACCCCAGATCCCAGACATGCTTTCGAGAAGGTCACAATTTAAAATCAACAAAATCGGTCCACAAATAACGGTGATATATTCAAAATTCCGAAAAAATCCATAAAAATATTACGTTTTTTTCTCATTTTTAATTATTATAATAACAACAAGGCTTAACATGGTGGAAGAGTATTAGATATATTAAAAATGTTTAAAATAGGTCCATTATTTACCCTAGCCCCCTATGCAACCGTACCCTCCGAATATTGGTCTTAAGCTGATAATTATGTTAAAAGTTTTAATATCTCTAAATAAATTGTCACAACGATAATGATCAGGCCTAGTTTGACCTTAAACCGCATACAAAAGCTTTTTCAGAAAATGACTTGAAATTCAATAATTCACTAATAAACCCTTCATAAACTTTACTGTAAACGTAAATCCCTCTACCAATATTTATAAGAATATGCCTATATTTACCCTTGCTCCCGTATAACCCCACTCTAAGAAGATCACTTTTTTGACAACAACTTAAATGCTATATCTATCTATCTATCTATCTATCTATCTATCTATCTATCTATCTATCTATCTATCTATCTATCTATCTATCTATCTATCTATCTATCTATCTATCTATCTATCTATCTATCTATCTATCTATCTATCTATCTATCTATCTATCTATCTATCTATCTATCTATCTATCTATCTATCTATCTATCTATCTATCTATTTATCTATCTATCTATCTATCTATCTATCTATCTATCTATCTATCTATCTATCTCTATCTATCTATCTATCTATCTATCTATCTATCTATCTATCTTTCTATCTATCTATCTATCTATCTATCTATCTATCTATCTATCTATCTATCTATCTATCTATCTATCTATCTATCTATCTATCTATCTATCTATCTATCTATCTATCTATCTATCTATCTATCTATCTATCTATCTATCTATCTATCTATCTATC